AGATGCTCTTTCCAGGCTGCCCCAGCACAATAGCCAAAGGGAGAAGGTGGTGTCAGCTGTAATCCCAAACCGGCAGGGGCCAGAACTGGCAGCTGCAGTCACCAGATCATAAAGTAATGCCACCAAAACCCTCCTCAAGTCACAATTCTTGTGAGCATCAGCTTTGGTCCCAGCACATCAAAGTATGCATTTCAGGCAACTGGTATGTTCTAGCCTGAATACCTGTTTGGGGATGTGTTAACTGATCCGTTTCTGGCCTCGCCCACCTCACCTCACACCAAGGACATCCGGCTATCAGAATATGGAAGGACTTCTCTATTTCTTACCTTAGGGAATGAGTTGGGCCGTGGTCCCTTTGTCAATCTCTTCTGCTCCAAAGCAGATCCTTACTTGGCAATCGGGAAGCAACCTGGAGCCACAGGCAATGGGGTTTCTAAAGCCAACTCACTTCTCTCATGCTCCCGTGCCTGTTGTCCTTGAGAGGTGATTCCTTGAAGGGTGAGATAGTCCTTTCCAGATGGAAATGGACCTGCAGGAGTTTCTCTCCTACCTCTTCAGCTCAAGGGTCCCCAGTCACAGGTCAAGGTTTGTTGCTTCTTGTTTCAAGCTGAAGAGGAAGAGTGCAGGTTTTTGTCACACTTCCCCATAAGCATTTACCACTGTGCAGCGTGCTAGCTCCACTGCTCCAACTACCACAGTAGTAATCAGCCTCGTCTCCTCCTTGAATGTTGGAGATGGACAAGATGGCCGAATTGGACGAAGAGTCAACGGAACCAGAAAATCGCTCGGGGATTCCAGAAGGTCTCTCGCTGTCACGATAGATCACTGTGAGAGGACTACTGCCAGGTTTCTGCTGATACCACCTCACATAGTTGCTTGAAATGCTGCCACCTGTCCTTTCACAGGTGATCCTGACTGTCTCCAAGCGATGCTGACATAGAAGGTGGTTGAGTCAAGGTGAACTGGGCCCAGGCGCCTGCAGGTGGAAGAAATGGGGGAAAATTCAACTGAGCTGCTGCCAGGGAGAAAGGCATTTTATGCAGTTTAAAGAAAGTAGAAAGGAGGCAAGAAAAGGATAAAATATCCAAAAAAGTAGAGTTGTGCATTGGAAGGCCAAAATACGTCAAACCTCCCTGTAGGACAGCCATACTTTACCAGTGAAGTAGGTGAGGAGGAAGAGGAGGAAGAGAAACATTTGGGCCATGGCTGAGAAATGGACAACGGATCTTCTGAAACCAATCCTCCCTCTAGGTTGCCCCCTTCGCTCTACTCTTAAGGTCTAGAACTGGTGGCTGAAAAAGTATGCAAATATTTTTTCCGGTCTATTTCTTTTTTAACACACACACACACTCCTGCAGTCCTGAGACAAAGACAAGGGGTAGTTTGCATAAGATCTCACCTGCAAGACTCGCCTGTCGGGTGCAGAAGGGGGTGGAACTCCATGGCTGCCTTCCCAGAACACACTGAATTTTCATCTTTTCTGCACTCTCCCTCTACAGTGAGAGGTAAACTTACCAAAATTTCTAAGTTCATGCTAAATATTACCCTGCCACAAAAAAATACCACAAACCAAACCTAATTCAGCCTGTGATCAAATCCATAAGTCACCCTGAATCCATGTATTGCATGAACGATTCCTATTCAGTTGGTGTTTTTAAGCTTCCTGAACAAGAATATGCTGAAATCTGTAATGGACCTGCATATTTCCCTGGGAATCCCAGACCAGAATCATGAATGTCAGGTTTATACTTTGAAGACTCTTTTTCCCTAATCCCCTGCTCTGTGAAGACCCCACAGCCCCACCACCTGGCAGGCTGGGGATCAGCCTCTTCAAAACGGAGTCAGAGAACATCTTGAAAGAAACTACTATGGCTGTATCTTCAGTAGTTTCATTCATTAATTATGTGGTATCAAGTCAGCGTTGACTCTCAGTGACCGTAGGAATAGACCTGCTCCAGAATGATCAATCTGCACCCTATTCCCCAAGTGGAAAGTCTGAAAATTGTTTCTTCTTAGTAAGCTTTAGGTTAGAAACTATGGAAGGCCACCAGTGAAATCTAGTGGCTGGAGAGATTCAAATAAGACATCTGTCGAATAGCAGGGGGAACCCACTTCACACACTTTCCCCCTGGAGATGCAAATGGGGGTGGAAGGGAACAAATGAGGTTGAAAGAAAAATAGATGCACCAAGAGACTCAAACATCTACATCAATATGGGTTGTAGAAAAGTAGGTGCACATCTAAAGTGGGGAAATGAGAGGATTCTTGGAAAAGACTCCATTACTTGATCTATTTTCTTTTCCTCACCCCAATATTCTCCACAGAATCTCTCTGTCTCTGCTAAAATCTTTGGGATGGTGATTTTTGCACAGCCTCTTTGCAAGCTCTTTGTTTAGATGATTCCTCTTCCTCCATGCTCATTGGTAGTTAATGATGCCAAAGAAAAAGAAAATATTCATTTATTTCCGTGGAAGGCGGAATATCCTTTGCTAAGGAGCCTCCTACACCTCTCCCATGAGAAAACCCAACTGGTCAAAACTGAATAAAGGAGATTTTGAAAACAAGGAGAAACAGCTCTTAGATTCATGAGTTTTGAAACACCATCAGAGAGATAAAGCATTGAGCACCACCTTTTTGATCAGTTGAAACTTCAGTCCCAAATGCTTGGAAAACACTTCAGAAGGTCTTGCAGTGAGTCGCAATACAGAAAACGAAAGCATGGAGAAGCTGAGTCCCCTTTCCCTGGACATGGCTCCACCTGGCATTTCGTCACCCACATTAAGCAGGGCACCCAAAATGTTCTCCCAAAAATTGCATTTTTCCCTTCAAGACATATGTTATACCAGCAAGGAGCAAATTATGCCTAAACATATTCAAATACTTTCTGCATCAGAATCTTTATTGTTTCCAATCAGGCAGAATTCTTGTGCTTCCCTCTGGCAAGTAGAACGGTAAGCCTATAAACTAATCAAGTCAGGCTATGAATTCAATATTAGGTAAGCCCCTCTGTTTTAATGTCACTTCCTTTTATTTCCTATATTCATTGATATTTGAAGCTTTCCCTTTTTCAACCTGTTTCTTCATGAGCTTGCAACTTGGCCCGAGCTGTGACGGTTCCTTGCAGGCATCTCTAAATAAAGCCATTTTCTTGCACACTCCCGTGCCCATCAACCTTCCTGGGCGAGGGAATGCTTTGCAGCTGGAAGTCAATCTAACGTATCTCTTTGATGCAGAATCCCCAATCACGGGTCAAGATATGTGGTTGGCTCTTTTATGATAAGGAGGAAAAGTGAAGATTTTTGTCATGCTTCCCCATAAGAATTTACCACTGTGCAACATACTAACTCCACTATTCCAGCTAACACAGTCATAAACTGCCTCTTCAGCCTGTGCATTTGTGATGACTGAGGATCCAGTGCTCCCAGACCTGTGGCTGTAAACCGATCTGGGATCCCTGCTCCCCTGCTGTAGCCATCACAGTGTATTTAGCGAGAGGATTCTCCAGATTTCTCTTGATTCCAGCAAATGCTGTAGGAACTCTGAGTTGTGCAGGGGAAGGTGATCATTCCTCCCAGGGACACGGAGATGGAGGAAGGCTGGGACCAAGTGGGCTGACAAGCAATGCCTTTAAAGAAAGGGGGAGGGGGGGAGAGAAAGAAAGAAATAAAATATTCTATTCACCCAAAGCATTTTGAGGTCTTCTTGCTTAGCCAATAATCAAAACACCCATTTGCATAGAGGAGATTGAGAAATGGAGGAATTCCTCAAAGGCTCAGTTAAAATCTGACCATCCTGTTGTGGATCAGGGAAACTTCTGAATATCTTCAAACACCCAACTTTGTACATGACTTTGACATGGAAATGCTTACCTGTAAATGTAATTATGTAATTCAACTTAATCTCAGTCAGCAAGTCAAAGCTAAGATGTAATTGTAATAAAACAGATTAGACAGTTTGTAGCATGGCTTCATTCCTGTTTATTGTGCTTCTCTTCTGAACAAAGCAGATTTTGCTAGATAAATGGCCCTCATTGGCAAATGGAGACAGATCTGCCTAATATTTCTATTTCTTGGATTCGCACAGCTCAAGCAAAGATCAAACTATACTGATTGTTCCAATCCGTTGAGGATGAAGGAAGATGAATTTGATCACAGTGCCCCAAGCCAGTTGACCACTGTGAAAGAGGTCACCAAACCACATTCCACAGCAATGGAATCTTCAGCCTGGATGTTGCTGATGGTCAAATGCTCCATGATCTCATAATGGAAAACCAGAAACTGCTCTAGGATTCCTTCTCTTCTACTGTAGTCATAACTGTGCACATATTATGGAGCTTGTTTATATCTTTGTGGAAATCAGTAAATGACATCAGAGCTACTAACAGCACAGAGGATTTGGGATGTTTGTCTTGGGGACCCAGATTCAGCTGCAGACTGACTTGGATAATAAGCCAAACTGTTGAAGGACAAACATCAGCAATGACCTTGAGACATTACTGTGTCTCCCCAAATATTTCAACAGTTCTATTCAACGGACAAACACCAGGAGCTTTCTTGGCTTCCAGGGAAACAGGAGTTTTTAGCAAACTTCCCTAAGCTATAAATGAGGAATAGCAGAAATCTAAAAGCATGGACCATGATGAGGAGCTGCACTTTCTGAAAGAAGATCAACTGGATAGGATGGTCCTCTTCTCTTGTCTTATGTCAAACAAAATGGCACAACTGTCCCTTCATCTCACTGATGCACACAGGACAAAAAAGAAGGAAGGAAGGAAGGAAGGAAGGAAGGAAGGAAGGAAGGAAGGAAGGAA